CCGAGAGGGGTCTTCGGGATCTTCAGCACTAACGCTGGCAGAGTACCTCCGTAAGGGGAAGAGAGTGCAGCCGTGGGCCAGGTCTGTTGCCAACTTGAACAAGAAAACTTTCTCTTGATGACCCAATGCTCTTGCTCTTTCCACATTACATACAGATTTTGTGGTAAAACTGACTTGTAAGGCGGGCCCAAAAGGTGATTATTGACAGAAGAGCCTTGCTAAAACCTCTGGAACATGTTCTGTCTGGGTTTTTATGACTGTGAAAAACAAAACTAAATTAATACAAGTCTCCCTTCCCTGTTTCAGTTAAGAGAAATCTATTCATCTGAAAGTTTTTGACCCTCTTTTTGCTTCTCAGCAGAAGTAACTGAGAAGGGGGCTGCCTCAGGAGAAATTCTAGGCCCTGGGGATTCTTAGAGCTGTACAAATGCCCCCTCTTGATTGAGCAAGACCTTGGGAAAGACCAGCATGCTAACGGGCATGAGTGAATCCACAGTCTTTACTTCTTGCCTCATAAAGGGGCCCAGTTACACCAGTATCGGTCTTTTCCTGATGAAGCTGTGCTGCCTCAGGCTGTCTAGGGACCATTACCTATCTGTTGGTCGTGTGAGTGTGTCTCCTTAACTTTAGTTCCTGGGCAATGCTTGCTTAATTAGAGCTTTGTTGAATCAGCAAAGGGCCCGAGGCCTTAGGTTTTATTTTTGTTTTTGTTTTTTATTAAGGTCTCTGCTCCTGGCATGGTGCTCAATATCTTGGCCAAATAAATTACTTTCCTTGAATATAGGAATCTTTTAGACTAAAGCAATGAGGAGTTACCACCTCACCCTCAAACTCCAACATGATCTATGCCTTAGTGTTGTTGTCTGCTTTGATGTAAAAGTAAGAGTATTTGGAGCAAGAAGCTGCAGTACTCCAAATATACAATAGGCCTTTTCTTTGTCATTCATACATGTCTGGTTTAGGTATATGTACATGGGCCATGCTATTTGTCCAGAAAAAAAGAGTGTAAAGATAGAAGAATAACTTTGTAGTCCTAAATGCCATTTTGTTTACTTTCTGTCAAGATATTTACCAGTGTCAAATTCAAACTATAGTACTGTGTAATTATGTATAAAGTTTTTTATTTATTTGAAATTAGACTAGATACACATTTTTAAATTTAACATCTGGCTGGACAGTGTTCTATTAACTCATATGAATGTGTTTGTTTCCTTTGTCTTGTGTTAATAAATATCGATGCCTGGTTGTGTCTGATGCTTCACACAGTGGGAAAATTGATAAATTGTAATTTATAAATTTTTAAATCGAACTTCCGATGGTAATACCCGAAGATTGCTAGTGTGGTCTAAGAAGATGAACACAGTGATCACAGTAAATCAGTGCTATAAAAGCAGGCCACATCAAGAAACCGTAGAGTCATTTTGAAAACTAAGAAGCCTTTTGTCAGGAACAATTAATTATAGCTTAGTTTTCCTCCCACTTATGTGACATTTGCTGGTTTTAAACTTCTTGTGAATTTCAATTTTTTTGTGCTATGTAATTTTTTTGTACTGTGTAAGCTAGATTTCAGCTTTCCCTAAAGTAATACTTCATTTGCTCTTCCATTTCCTGGTTTCAAGAAACTTGATGGGAGCCCATCAAATTGCATGTGTTCTCGGGCACTAAAAGTTGTCCTTGAACTGTGGTCCAAGCTCCTTAGGCAGCTGAGAACATTTTTTCATTTAGCACATCTTTATTGAGTGCCTTCCGATTAGGCACAAGGCTCTGTAATAAGAACTGAAGCTAGAGAGAAAACTATCAAGTCACTGCCCTCAAGGAAATACAGGAAAACAACACAATGTAATTAAGGGTTACAAGTAGAGGTGGGCCCAGTCCAATCATGAGGAAAAATAGTGAGGAATACATGCCAGAGAAGGTAACATCTGAACTGAGTTTTGAAGGATGAGACAGCCAGATAAGATCAAGACAAGGGGGAAGGCAGACTTGCATGCCCTGGGGACTGCAGTTCGTTATTAGGATATGGGGTTTGAAGGGAGAAAACTAAAAGAGGCTTGAGCTAAGGGGTAGATCACTAAGGGCCTTGTATATTCATGCTAAGAATTGTGGGCTTTTATCCAGTAAGCCAAAGAGCTGATGAAGGATTTATCACAAGGGAATGAAATGCTCAGATTTGCAACATAGATTATTCTGGTAGTCATAAAAAAGGGATTGGTGTGGGTAGGGAAAGGATGTGGAACCTGAGGCTGGGAGGCCTTTCTAGTAACTGCAGTGATAAAATAAGTGTACTTCCACCAGGGCGGTGAAGGATGGGGACAAGAGGCAATGTGTGCAAACTTGGAAGACTAAGATGTCAACTACTGAGTGAGTATTCAGGGTAAGGAAAGAGGAGTTCAAAATAACTCGTATGTTTATGACGGAGTTAGGTGAGTGTGGGGCCATTTTCCAAGACCGGGAATGAAAGAAGACTGGGCAAAGAAGATGCCGTGTTCCATTTTGCTCATGCTCATTTGAGGTGCTATGAAACATGCGAATGAAGAAGTCCAACAGGCAGCTGAATATTTAGGTCTCTGCCTCAGAGGAGCTCTGGTCAAAAACTAGATATCGAGGCCCTGGCTGGTGTGGCTCAGTAGATTGAGTGCCAGCCTCCAAACAGAAAGGTTGCTAGTTCGATTCCCAGTCAGTACCCATGGCTGGGTTTCAGGCCAGGTCCCCAGAAGGGGGCATGTGAGAGGCAATCACACAATGATGTTTCTCTTTTACCCTCCCTCTCCTTTTCTCTAAAAATAAATCTTAACTCGATATTTGGGAGACATCCCTTTAAAAGTAAAGCCATTGAAGTGGAAGATATTACCAAGTGAGATCATGTAAAGTGAGCAAAAGACCAATAATGAGAACCATGGGGAAAACAACAGCATTTAAAGGCTGATGGGGGTAGATGAGTCCACAAAAGAGAGAGGGAGTAACTGGAGAGGTGGGAGCAAAAACAGGAAAGATTATGGGCATAGAAATTATAGGAAGTGTTTTAAAGAGAAGGGAAGTGATTAATGATGCTGAAGGCTACGATGAAGCTGAGTAAAATGGGGACTGGCTAGCATGTGCTAGATCTGGCATCAAGACAATCACTGGTGACCTTGGCCAGAGCTATTTCAGTTGCAGTTAAGGGAGAAGACAGGAAACTGGTTCAGGTGAGTAATGAAGAGAAGTGTTAACAGAGACTATTCTTTCCAGAAGCTTTATCTGCACACAGGAAAGAGAGAGATGTGATAGTAGTTAAAAGAGGGCTGTAGAATTAAGAGAAGCTGTCAAAAATGGAATAAAATATTCTTGTGTTGGGGAAATAGCCAATAGAGAGGGAAAGGTTCCAAATACAGCAATGAGGGATAATTGACAGAGCACTGAAGAAGCAGGAGGGTTGTGGGTCGAGAGAACAAGTGGAAGGGAGGAGGCACGCTTGTTTTCAAATCTGGGTTAGTACATACCATGTTATGCTGTGTATAATGCGCATCCATGTTGGCCCAAACTTTCAGGGAAAAAAATCTCGTTTTAATTTCTTAATTCAATTTTTAAATTTATATTTAAGAAAAAGCAGTATCGGATCCCAGGGTATTATTTTGCATATGGATATTGTCATTGCTTTCTAGAGTTACACTTTTAACACACAAGCATAAATGAAAGAATTAAAAATGGATACAGAATTAGTACTACCCATGTATAATGCATATCCTTATTTTCCCTCAAAAATTTGGGCAGAAAAGTGTGTTATACACGGCCCAATATGGTAGTTGGTAGAGGCCTAGCTGATGACCTCATTCATTTCTCTGAACCTCCATTCTCAGTTTACAAAGATGAACATTTATTTAGTGCTTGGTCTGCCTGGCATGGTTCTAATTTACATGTGTTAAACTCAATCCACAAAACTATGGGATAGGTAGTATTGTTAAAAAACTTCATTGTAATGTTTCTTCTTACTACAAAAGCCAAAGAGGTGTCACCACTGGCTTGACCAGTTAGTTTGTTTTAACACAGTTGTCTTGACTCTAAATTTAAAGTTAGATTTGTCTCTCACTTCTAAAGTCAAAGACCTGTCCATCTGGTTTATAAAACTGTTAGTATTCAGTTGCACACTGTTATATTCAGGTAGAACAGTACAACTGAATAGTAACAGTTAATTTTTTTCATCTAGTTATTCTTCAAGGTTCAGAAGTAGTAGGTACAGCTTGTGACATTTCATGAGAAGGAAAGGATGGTGGGAATATTTGTGAGTGACAGTGTTGCAATATAGTATCTGATTTAGATTTAAGTCATTTTACAGATGGAAGAACTAAAGAGAGCAATCCATGCACATTTTGAAGGTTTCGGTAAAATTTAGTCTCTTTTGATGGTAACATCATTGTTTCCCCTTCCCTCTTTTCCTGATGAACATTTGTTAAGCATTCTGTGTTCCAAGGAAGAAACTAACAAACACAGAACAATAAATGCGGAACTAGCCTTCCAGCCACTCATGTTCTGGATTCCTAATCAGGAAAGGTTGATGTCTGAGAACCTCTTCCCCACTCCTTACCTTTAGAGGGCACTTTGCTTTCCTATGATATATGACATTTTGGTTCTTTAAGAATGCTAGGACATGGGCTGAATATTCTATTTTCCCCAACTTTGATGAGGAGACAAGCTGAAGTTGGGCAATTGGGCCAAACAAAAATATAAAATAAGGGCAGTTTTAGCTTTTATTTTTTAATGATTTTTTTAGAAAGAAATGTTGATTTGTTGTTCCACTTATTTATGCATTCATTGGTTAATTCTTGTATGCACCCTGACCCAGGGTCAAATCCGAAACCTTGGCTTATGGGGACAAGACTCTAACCAATACCCTACCCAGCCCGAGCCCATTGTAGCTTTCAATAGGTAGAATAGACCACGTTTGCTGAATCACCCCGCTAAACGTTTGGAGTCTGGCACACAGCAATTGGGTTTCCCTCATTGAAGAGCTCAAACTAGTAAAATTTCAGATACATTCTGGAACTTTTTAATTTGTCAAGAACATATTCAAAGGTTTATCATAATTTACCAGTATAAAGCCATACCATGACATTTTGCAAGAAAATGGATTAAAAAAATATTAAGAGTAACGCATAACTTCCCCAGGATGGTAGAAACATCAAAAAATGTTTCAATAAAAGTTTTTGTAATGTAGTAAAGTAACGGTGTAACATTTTATTTTACCACACTTCATTTTATGTAACTTTTTTTCTAAATAGTTTAACAGTTGGGATAAATGGCTTCAGTATGACACACCCTACCCGCACCTTATTTTTTTTAAACCAGTCTTCGTAGAAAAGCCTTTAGTACAGGATAAAAGAACACTTAAAGCAACTTCATGGGATTAAAAAACCTGGATGGACTAAGAGAAGCTGAGCAGGACCAGCCTCCTTGCTTCCAGTCACTTCTCTTACACGAAACGGACAGGTCAGCGACGGTCAAAGCCAGGGACGACAGCTGTGGGCCTGAGCACGCCACAGGGAGCCAGTAGGAGCTGAGCTGAGAGCGACGCCACCAATTTACCGCTCCACAAGGAGCGGCTTTCCGACACCACCAAACTGGTGGTGGCCCCCGAAAACAGTCGTGAGAAAGGAGTGCCGGCGGAGCTGTGAAGTGAAAAGGAAAAGCACGCAACTTTCACCTCCTACTCTAGCCAAGGAGGGGCACCTCCCCATTCCGAGGAAAGCCGGCACAAGATGGCGGCGCAACACGTGACAACGTGGTGACGTAGACGTATGACGGCGGCCCTTACGGGGGCACCGCCTTAACCTCACCCCCTACGCTCACTCAGTTTTGACCCCCTCCCTTCCCCGCCCCCGGCCTGGTGTAGATCATGCCGCCAGCGGCGGCCCTAACTGCCGAGGAAACGGTAGCCTAGGACAGTTGGCTGTTAAGTGACACTGATTGTCCCCGCCCCGCCAGACGCTAGAAAAAGAGGCACGTCCCCCACCGCGTGACGGGGTGGGGAAATAGGTAGTAAATTCGGATCCACCTGGGAGGGGGGAGTGGAAGTTCCCGCCCCGGAGAACGGCGAGGCGACAGCCACAGGTAAGCGGGGGACGCGGGGTGAGGCGTGCTCCCGAGTCCCGGGGCAAGGGGAGGGTGTGGGGGACGCGGCTCCGCGGGGACGCAGAGCTTGGTAGCACGCCGGGTGGGGGTCGCGCGCCGGCGGCGGCGGTGGGGGAGGGGCGCAGAGGGCGCGCGGCGGAAGGGGGAGGGCTTTACCGCGGTACCCCGGCCGAGTGCGCTTCCGGTTCTCGCGCTTCGGCCGCGCTTTTCCCCTTTAATTTTCAGTCTTCTCCTCCTGGCGTCCCCCAGTCAAAATAAAACCGAAGACCTCCTGCCGCGGTGTGGCTTTGGCCTCTGAAACTGCCCCTCCGCGGCTCTAGGCTCTAATGCCCTCGGTGGAAGGTCTTGTGGTTGGGGCGGGGAATGGGGGGCGGTGGCGTGGTCTTGCTTCGCGCGTAGTCAGCGCAGCGGGAGACCGGTCATCCCCGGGAAGCCCACGGGAGCGACCCGGCGCCTTTGGGGTGCCAAGCCCCAGATGGACTCGCCCGTGCAGGGCAGAAACAGACCTTCGTGAGCTTACGGTCGAGTAGGGAGACAGTAAAATAACCACACAGGCACACGAAACAGTAACGGAAAGATGCAGCGATGAGCGAGGAAGAGTGTGGAATGACAGAGCTCGTCTGTTTATCTCTGGACAGACGATCAAACCGAGGAGACTTTCTTTGATTTTATTTACCCTGTATTGTAAAACTAAGCATGGTATTTCATAGCGTCAACTATTCTGTGGAGCATGCAGTGTAATCACTTTAAAATTATTGTTGATCTGAGGTAATGTCTACTTAGTTAGCTTTTGAGGAGCAGTGGGCTAATAATAGTAATTGAGAGCCTTTACCCTTCTGAGGCATTTTCAGCGCAGATTTTGCAGGCGTCTTTGTCAAACTAACCTCGTTTGTGATAGATGATAGTTTGTACACTGTTTGCAAAATGCATTTTATCCTGAGAATTCTGTAACCAACGGAAATATGCACTTGTATTGAAATGCTGTTTTTTCCTTTAGACTTTATAATGTGCAGTTGTCTCTGTCTCAGTAAGATTCAACTCTGCTCTCCTAAAGCTGAATGTGTTAGCTTTATTATCTGAGTTTATATTTTGAGGCAGCTATTTTCAACAGGTGTGCTGCAAGAATTTTTAAAATATGCAGTACCTATTTAGTCAGGGGCACTGACCTCTTTTCCCTTAGATTGCCAAATTTAAAAAAAAACAATAGCACTAGTGTGCATATTGTCACAACAGTAGCTGTCTAGTGTACAGACACTAGACAAGATTATATCCTTTTTTAATTTTAGAGAGAAATATCGGTCTGTTGCACTTACTCGTGCTTTCACTGGTTGAATCTAGTACATGCCCGACTGGGATGGAACACTAAACCTTGACGTGTCAGGATGTCGCCCTAACAAACTGAGTTAACTATCCAGCCAGGGCTATGCCTATTTTTTGCCAGATTGGCAAAATAATATATTTTGTGGTGTACTGCAGAATTTTAGCAATTAGTTTATGTATGCCACGAGATGAAAAAGGTTGAAAACCGTTTCCTTAAGGTCGTATCTGTCATACATCTTGCAGTACTGCTGTATCACCAGTGGGCTGTAGCCCCATCTAAAAATGCTTTTATTTTTTCACATCATCCCACTTATTTATAATGAATTTCTAACTGTAAAGTAGGGTGTTTTTTGTGTCTGAATTGTCCTGTTTATTTTTAAATTTTTATTTTATTTATTAATTGATTGACTTTAGAGATAGGAGAAGGGGGCGGGGGGCATTGATTGGTTCTGCTTATTTATGCATTCATTGGTTGATTCTTGCATGTGTCCTGACTGGGGGTGGAACCCACAGCCTTAGGGTATGGGGACCAAGGCTCTAACTAACTGAACTACCAGGCCAGGGCCCTGAATTGTCCCAGTTCTAAAGCTAATTGAAGTAACTGTCTAAAGATATTTCTTTAGTCATTATCTCTATCACTTTTGAGCAGGTAAACCCAACTGAACACCTTTATTTATTCAACAGTAATAAGTGTGTAAGGTATTAGTGTTATTGGGAACAGGAAATGGTCTTTGACTCCCTGGAGCTTGCATTCTGGTGAGGGCAGAAAGTAGACAGTTACAAGGGGGGATAAATGCTAATGAGGAAGAAAACAATAAAAGAACTATAAAAAATGCAAGCAATTACAATACTGTGGTAGATGCCACGAGAAGAGGGGAACATATGGAGTGGGTATGTATACTGCCAGAGCTTCTAGATCAGTCTAGGGGAGTTCTGAAAGTTTGCCCTAAAGAATACTTCATAGGAATAGGCCACATGAAGAGAAGGGGCATAGTGTTTCTGGCAGAGGGAATAGCATGTGAAATCCTGAAGATGAGAGAAAGCAAGGCAGGCACATTTGAAGATCTGCAAGAAATGCAGTATGACTAATAGGAACAATTTTGAGGGGAGATCATGAATTCATTTGCAGAAATGGTGAGCAAGAGATGCCTTGACTTAAAGCTTATCATAGTTCACCATCCTCTATAGGCGAGGCAACTAAGAACATCTTCATTCACCAGATAAAAATACTACACGGTATTTGTTGATGTTAATTTATTCACTGTAAATGTGAGGGTCTCTGCTGGGCATAGAGCATACATTCGTGTGACACAAGCCTTGCCCATAGGTGCTTTAAGACTAAGGGAAACAAGACATGCCAATAAACACAGTTCAGAGTGTTAAGCAACCTCCTTAGAAACATCTGCAAGGCATAGTGGAAGCATTGAAAAAGGAGGTGACTGGATCAACAGGGTACATAATGTTTCAAATGTAAGTTGAAAACAGAATAGAAGTTTATCAGGTGGGTAAGTTGGGAATGTGAGAGTACTACTGGAAGAGAGGCAAGGAAGACTAGAAGAACATGGACTTTGGAATAAAACAGTTTTGGCTCCAGGTCTTAATGTTCATATCTTACTGTGAGATCCACAGTAAATGACAATTTCTTTGAGCCTCAAGTTAGGGAACCCAGGAGATAATATATTAAAAAGCTCTTAATGTCTAGCATATTGTATTTGCTCCTTTGAAAGTTTTCTCTGAAGTACCAGGCCTTTACTTAAATTTCTCACTGTGTCATCAGCCAGATCACAGCATGCTGCTATTGGGTTGGCCAAAAAGTTCATTTGGTTTTTTCCTTACAGTGACTCTAGTGGTGCTTAGTTGTCTTTAACTTCATTCAAAACAATTTTGTTGGATTGTATTATGACAGCTGTCATATCAGCGTGCATTTAAAAATAAAACATCAAAATTGGTGAATTTTTGTGTAGCCATTTTAATATCAAAGATGGAAGAAATAGACAACATTTTTGGCATGTTATGCTTTATTATTTCAAGCAAGGTAAAAACGCAACTCAAACACAAAAAAAGATTTGTGCAGTGTATGAAGAAGGTGCTGTGACTGATAGGATGTGTCAAAAATTATTTGTGAAGTTCCCTTAGTACTATTGACAATTTGGCCAAATAACTCTCTGCTGTGGGGCTGTCATAAGCATTGGAAGATGTTTAGCAGCACCCACTAGGAGCCAATAGTGGGAGGTAGCCAGCCGACATACTCAAGATATCCAAATCAGTAAAGTTATTAGCTATTATTTGGCCAACCCAGTATTTTTTTTAAGCTTTTATTCATTTGTTTGGTTGGTTGGTTTTAGACAGAGGAAGGCAGGGAGAAGGAGAGGGAGAGAAACATCAGTGTGTGGTTGCCTCTTGCGTGCCCTACACTGGGGATCTGATCTGGATCTGGGCCACAGCCTGAGTTTGTGCCCTGACAGGGAATCAAACCAGCAACTCTTTGGTTTGCAGGCTGGCACTCAGTCCACTGAGCTACACCAGCCAGGACCCAACCCAGAGTTTTTTAGCTCCCCAAATTCATGGCATTTTTAAAGCTGTTTTACTGCCCCCATTGTGATTCTGCCCCACTTGGTGTTGTCTCATGTTAAGCTTCTAGCTGCTGCCTGGGGCTTACTTTACTAAAGTGCCTTTGTACACATAACATAAAATTTATCCTGTTGAGCAAGTTTTTAACAGATTGTTTATTTTAGTCCCAGTTTTAGGGATAATAGCTAAAAATAAGTGAACATAAAAGTTACATCCTGATAACATTAAAAATGAAGAGTATGTATTGTTTATAATGAGATGAAACTATAAAGCGCTCTTCATTTTGGGGGGGGGGGCTAATTCCTCTTCTAAAAAACTACAGAAAATAGGTTATCTTCTTTTCCAAGGAAATGTTGTTGTCCAAAATGCTATTTGCTAACTGTAGCAGCTTTTACTAGGGAATGTGTATTGTTCTGTTGGTCATGCTAGTTTCCATTAGATAATAGGATATCTTAATGATATTGTTATGGGGGAAAATCAGTGAGTCACAGTGGAACAGAAGAGTATCATTTCCAGTAATTTTAACAAGGTTTTAAAAGTCTTTTATAGTTTCTTTTATTGCTTAACATTACATATTTTTTTCCTTCTTCGTGCTATATTCTAACTTATGTCTTCTGAAGTGGAGTGTTTAAAAGGCCGTTTCACTAGAGGTGGTACGAAGAAAACACGCAGTTCCATCTTTGGTGCTGTCGTTTACTTTGTGGGGTTATGCTTGTAGTAGTGCAGATGGAAAATCCTGAAGGGACTGTTGTGAAGGATTAAAAGCAGTTGAAGAAAGAACAAAGGAGGCCCTGGCTGGCGTAGCTCAGTGGATTGAGCACAGACTGGGAACCAAAGTGTCCCAGGTTCAATTCCCAGCCAGGGTACATGCTTGAGTTGCAGGCCATAACCCCCAGCAACCGCACATTGATGTTTCTCTCTCTCTCTGTCTATCTCCCTCCCTTCCCCTCTAAAAATAAACAAAATCTTTAAAAAATAAGTAAATAAAAATCTTAAAAAAAAAGAACAAAGGAAACAGTAGATGAATTTGTCAGAATTAAAAGTTTTAAAATAATCATAGTTAAGTCATGTTGGAAAACTATTTGTATCAGCACAAAAATTCTTTAAGTTTTACAGAAATTAAAGTTATATGAAGAACTAATGTAGGCTCATAAGAAAAAACTAATATCTGGTAGATGAATGGACAAACAATGTGAAAAGATAGCTCCTAGAACTAATGGACAATTAAAGAAATGTGAAACACTGTACCATTTTTCACCTGTCATCTTCGTAGTGACTTTAAAAAAAATTCTTACTGCTTTCTCATGTGCTTCTGATGGGCTTTCAGAAGAACCTCAAATATTCATACTCTTGGATCAAGCTTCTTTTTTGGAATGTATCCTATAGAAATAATTAAGTTACAGGAAAAGCTTTATGTACCAAAGATATTAATCAC